CCAAAGCCACCAAAGAAGCCTGAAGCCTCATAAAGGCCTCTGCGAAGAGGTCGTGTTTAGGAGGGTTTAGGGTTTAGGGTTTAGGGTTATTTAGGGTTTAGGGTTTAGGGTTTAGGGTTTAGGACCGTGAGACGAACTCCAACCCCTCAACTCCAGACCAGTGAGCCCTTAAAGCCTTAACCGTACACCCCTAAACCTCAAAGCACTCAACCCCGTGTTGCTTCTTCGCAGTACCCGGGGTCCATGAGGGTTAGGGTAAGCCCTCAAATCTCAAAGCCTCCAACCCTAACCTCCCTGATAAGACCCCAAAGCCAACCAAACGCAGTTAAGCTGCCCAAAAACCTTCAGCATAAACCCCCAGCTCCCACCACCTAAACCCTAAACCCTAAACCCTTGAAGGCCCTAAGCTCCACATCTCCACGGCAGTGATGGCTGCCTCCATCGACTGCAAAATTGGAGTCTGTCTCCCCAGCTCCAGGATTTTTTGAGGGGAACCTGCCGACTGGGCGGGTCTGCTCCGCCACCTCGCCGGCCAGCTTTAGGGTTTAGGGTTTAGGGTTTAGGGCGGCCTCCGTGGCGGAGGCCTGCAAGAAGGCCTCCTCTTCTAGAGTCTTGAATCATTCCTCGCACATCTTGCCAAACCGCAAACTCCTGTGTTTCTTCCATACGTCTTTTTTGGCAAGGTCCCCATACAGTCCTTGTCAGGCTTTGTATACTAGAGAAGCTTGAAAAGGAGCAAAGGGAGAGGCTTCTCGTGGTGCTCCCTGGCTGTCTGCCAAACCCTCAACTCCAAATCCTTAAACTCCTAAAACCTAAACCCAAACACGAAAACTCCCCGGTCAGATAACCCTAAACCCTAAACCCTAAACCCTAAACCCTAAACCGTGGGAACCCTTAAAGGAACGCAAAACCCAAAACCCCTAAAGGAGCGGAAGGCCTGGGCTCTTAAGCCCGAAATCCTATAAACTAGAAACCCTATAATCCGTATTAAACCCCTAAAGCTTTAGGGCCTAGGGTTGTGGATTAGGGTTTAGGGTTTCGGGTTTAGGGTTTAGGGTTTAGAGCTTTAGGGCCTAAAGGAGCCCTCATAAGATCCCTTAAATCCCCCTGAAACCTCAAACCCCAGTCCTTAATATTATAGTCCGAAAACCCCAAAACCCTAAACCCTAAACCCTAAAATCCCCAAACCCTAAAAACCCTTGATGGAACACTTAAGGAGGCCTCATAAGATCCCTTAGACCATCCCTAAACCCTAAACTCTGAATCCTAACCCCTAAACCCTAAATCCTAAACCCTAAACCCTAAACTCTGAACCCTAAACCCTAAACTCTGAACCCTGAACCCTAAACCCGATAAACCCCCACGAGATTCCAGAGGTGTAAGGGTTAGGGTGTAGGGTTTAGGGAGAATCTATATCGGGGTCTTCTGATTCGCCTTCTGCTTGAGTTGTGGGACCCTGACAAGCCTTGCGCCAGGATCAGTGCTCCATTGGCAATGTGCACCATGTCTGAGACAGCCAAGCTGATGTAGGCAAAAAGAAGCAGCAACCCCCCCCGCACTCTCACGGGGGGTAATACCTGAAAGTGGTATTGTGCGTTGAGAAAGAACACCTGGGTAGTGTCAAGGAGGTTTCCCACAGCTGCATTCACGGTAGCAAACGGTCCTGCCCTCTGGTCGCAGTCCTAAATACGTGCCTGTAGATACCCTAAACCCTAGACTCTAAACTTCCGTAAACGCCCTTACGTTGACCCCGGTCTTGGTATGTTGTATGCCTTAAGGACGACATGAACCCTAAAAGGGTTTAAGGTTCACAAAACCATATAACTAGGAATTCATAGTATAAGGGTATAGGGCCCCTACTTTTAAGGGTCATTTCCTTCTTCATGTGACATGTGACGGGCAGGAGGAGTGCCATTTAGTTTTGCAGGCCCCGGTCTTTCGCGAAATCGCGGCGTTTCGGAGGGATGAGGTGACCCTGGATTTAGGGTTTAGGGATTAGGGTTTAGGGTTTAGGGATTAGGGTTTCCTACCTTCAACTGCCGAACCCTACACCTCCTTGTAGGGTTTCTTACCAGAAGCCCCAATACGGAATTTATCCTAAACCCTAAACCCTAAACCCTAAACCCTAAACCCTAAACCCTAAACCCTAAACCCCTAAAAAAGCCCTTGCGACCCGCAAGCCATGATGCCAAGCCGTTTTCAACCCTCAACGGGTCCAATTTAGGGTTCAGGGTTTAGGGATTTGGGCTTTAGGGTTCACGGTTTAGGGTTTAGGGTTTAGGGTTCAGGGTTCAGGGTTTAGGGATTTGGGCTTTAGGGTTCATGGTTTAGGGTTCAG